TATATATATATATATTAATATTCAGTCCTGACTCATACTTACACTGTATAGGGTTTATGTAGAGCAGTTGGTGGGTTTGAACTGCTGACCTTGTGGTTAGTAGTCCAGTTCTAGTGCTAATAATAATAATAGTAGAGATAGAATACTAATAGAAGAGCTTATTATTGAGTCTTATCATATGGAGGCCTGGTATGGTGCTGTAGGATAAGCACTGGACTGTTAACTGCTAGGTTGGCAGTTCAAACCCACCAGCCATTCCTCTGAAACCCTGTACAGGGTCCCTATGAGTCAGAACCAACTCTTTGGCACTTTGTTGTTGTCAGGTGCCATCGAGTTGGAACCGACTCATAGCGACCCCATGCACAGCAGAATGAAACAATGTCCAGTCCTGGGCCAACCTCACTACCGCTGCCACACTTTACAAAAAAAAACAACTCAATTATTTTTATTTTACTAAGATAAAAGAGTTTAAGTAATTTACCTAAGATCACCCAGCTACAAAACGGCAAAGCCAGTATTCCAAACCAGAAACAGTTTGACTTTGGAGCCTTAATGTCCTCTCATCTCGCTCATGTCTGCGGCCTTCCGTGAGGGACATTTCTGCTGTGTGGCCAGGCTCAGCTGAGTACATTAACTAAATTGGGCTGTAATCACAGGAGAGGATTGGGGACAGAAACGTTATAGCTACAGTGATTCTTGAGTGTTTACAAGCTTTCACATTCATGATATCCTGTCATCTTTGTGGCAACCCTTGTGAGGTTGTTGTTGATGTCAGGTGCTATTCAGTCAGTTCCATCTCAAAGTGCTCTTATGTACAGAACGAAATGAGACACTACCCAGTCCTGAGCCACCTCACACGTGTTAGGGTTCAGCCCATTGTTAACGCCACTCTGTCAATCCATCTCGTTGAAAACCTTCCTCTCTTTCACTGGCCCTGTGAGGTTGGCGCTCTGATGGAGGAAAACCTTGTGACAACGTGGCAGCTTCACCTCTCAGTGACCAACATCTCCTCTCAGTGGTTTGCTTGCACACATCAAAGCAAGTCCATGAGGCAGAAGAATTGTTTCCATAGATTTCACCGTGCAGCCCCTTACTGAGAAGCACTAAGTGATTCTAGACGTGGGTCTAGAGGGCAGGTTGGCCCTTCATTCGCCATCTTTTCCCTCAGGCTGGAGGAGGGGGATTCCTCTTGAGTGCCTTTTTTTTTGTAATGGTGTTCAGAGATTTTCAGCTTGTTAACTTTCATGAGATGGAGAAAATTAGATCACACAATTACTTTGCTTTCTGTTTTTAATCACTGTCATTTGGGCTGCCCTTTATTTGTCTATTTTAGGTAATTAGATGCCTAGGGCATTTACTTTGTTGAGTTTGGTTTTTTTGAAAATAAGAAATTATGAAATGAAGATGCATATATTGAGACAAAACTTGTGAGTCATAAACCCCATGAATACTAATTCTTTTTCTGACTGGTTTCCTTTCATTAGAGAGGCATTCTACTACTTGGAACTTCCAATTTTTGGAAAACTATTTTGAAGAACTATTCAGTGGAAGCAAAAACTACAAATGAGTTAAAGATAGTCATAAGTTTACTTGCCAATTAGTAGCCATTTTTTAGGGCAATCTCCTTTGGTTTTGGAGTTTAGTCCTTTTCAGAATACACAGAATATCACTTTCCCTAATATTATGCATGCCCACTTTTGGTGAAGTGGAGAAATGTTTGGGGTATTTCAGTATGAATTTTGTAGAAGAATGTTGTTGTTAAGTATCACAGAGTGGGTTCTGACTCATAGCTATCCCATATAAAGTTTCCGAGGCGTGACTGGTGGGCTTAACCAACCTTATGGTTAGCCGTCCAGTGCTTACCCTATAGCACTCTATCAGGACTGATATAGATGCATATCTGCTGCAAAAGATCTCTTTTAAGTGATAAAGAGCCAAGAGGTCACTTTGAAGACTAAGGTACGCCTGACCCAAGCCATGGTACTTTCAGTCACCCCATATGCATGTGCATGCTGTACCATGAATAAGGAAGATGGAAGGAGAATCAGTGATTTTGAATTTTGATGTTGGCAAAGAGTATTGAAAGTACCATGGACTTCCAGGAGAGCAACCCAGTCTGTCTCAGAAGAAGAAATTAAAGTGTCCCTTAGATTTGAGAATGGTGGACAGGTAGGTTATCAGGAAGGGCCGGTACCTGGAGAATGCAAAGTAGAGGGTCAGTGAAAAAGAGGAAAACACCCAAGTATCATTTATACAGGGGCGGCCACCATGGACTCAAACATCATAATTGTGAGGATGCTGTAGGCCCGGCAGTGTTTTGTTCTGGTGTACCTGGGGGAGATGGCACCCTCCAGCAACACACGTGCTGTGAATGTGCCATTTCAGTGTGGTGTTTTCCTTTATTTTTGCTCTTGACTTTACATTAGACAAGTTAATATCCAAGGTCCACTTTATAGCCAGTTCACAGGCACCTTCTAGAACAGAATTACACTTTAATGTCACTGGCATCCCAGCAAAAGACAGTGCCCTTGATGTTTTGAACAAGTACCAGTCTCGAGATTAAAACTCTTAGGTTCAGTAGGACAGTTCTCGTGCGGATGAACCTTTATTCTGAACGCTCTGAAGAAGCAATTAACAGCTTGTCTAATTTGGAAATACGAAATGTCTTATTAATGAAAAATAATGTTACAATTGCAAAGAATGATTTGGACTGAATCTAGTGACTTCCCCATCACTAAAAAGCTATAGCAATTGTGATGCAGTTGATTCAGACTCAAGACGATCCCATGTGTGCTCTATAGAGGGTGCTCAAGGCTGTGGCCTTTCAGAAGCAGATCAACAGGCCTTTCCCCTAAGACACCTCTGAGTGGGTTTGAACGGCAGACCTTTCAATTAGTAGTCAAATGTTTAACTATCTACACCACCCAGGGACTTTGCGTCATTAAGACCTAGTTTTTGTCTCCAGGAATTGCTAATTTAATGCACTACACAAATGAAGTAAATGCTTGGTGATCAGAGAATTAAAAGAAATAATAAAAGACTAGAAAAGGACATTGGGTTAAAATCCTTTTATTATGAAGCCAGCTAACAAGCTGATTCAAAGACAAGGCTTCCTTTACTCTACAAATGCAATAAAGTTTCCTCCACCCAGTCAAAAGAAAGCGTAGAAATGTTTTAATTGATGGCAAGATCAGTGAAAATTGTGCTGAAGACAATTAAAAAATGCAGCAGTACATCTGCAGGGAGCTGCCAGAAATTCGGGCCAGATTCAGAAGAAGAAGCTGAATGAAAGATATAATTACTGATGTCAGACAGATCTTGGTTGAAAGCAGAGAGTACCAGAAAGATACTTATTTGTGTTTTATTGACTATTTAAAGGCATTAGACTTTGTGGAATATACCAAACTATGGGTAACATTGCAAAGATTGGGAATTCCAGAATACCTAATTGTGCTCATGTGGAACCTGTACATAGAGCACGAGGCAGTCATTCAGACAGAACAAGGGGATTCCACGTGGTATAAAATCAGGAAAGGTTTGAGTCAGGGTTGAATTCTTTAAGCATACTTATTCAGTCTGTATACTGAGAACATTATTTGAGAAGCTGGGCTTTGTGAAGAAGACCGCATCTTTAGGATTGGAGGAAGACTCATTAGCAACCTGCAGTATGCAGATGACACAACCTTGGTGGCTGGAAGTGAAGAGGACTTGAAGCATTTCCTCATGAAAATCAAAGAATACAGCCTTCAGTGTGAATTGCAACTCAATGTAAAGAAAATAAAAGTCCTCACAACTAGATTAATAAACAACATCATGATAAATGGTGAAATGAATGAAGTTGTCAAGGATTTCATTTTACTTGGCTCCACAGTCAACACTCACGGAAGCAGCTGTCAATAAATCAAATGATATATTGCATTGGACAAATCTGCTGCACAAGACCTCTTTAAAAAGGTTAAAGAGCAAAGATGTCACTTTGAGAACTAAGGTGTGCCAGACCCAAGCCATGGTATATTCAATTACTTCAAATGCATGTGAAAGCAGACTGGAGAAGATTTGATGCATGTGAATTTTGACATTGCGCAAGTCCCATGGACTGCCAGAAGAGCAAACAAATCAGTCTTGGAAGAAGTATAGCCAGAGTGCACCTTAGTGGGCCCACATCAATCATCTCACACTGATCCAACTGTCTGTTCTTTGCACCATTAGCTCACACCCTTCATAACCATTCTATATGTACACATTAGAAAAATCAAGCCACTCAATTTGGAGTGTAGCATACTTGTTCCTGGATCACAATATGTACTTCACCTTTTGGGGCTTGCTGGGACTTAAGTCTAGTTATAGATCTATAAACAATCATTGGTGGAGGTGTTTCCTGGGAACATGTCTTACAAGACATCTACTTCAGGTCATGCTCCAGACAATGCCTCAGGCACAAGTGGGTTAAACTCATCACGTTTAGGCAGAGGGGATAGTGGTTTTTCCTGATATGGATCAGCAGACAAAGGTGGGAGGGGTT